ATAGAGAACAGTATGGAGAAAAGCATAATGATGTTAGGGTGTAAAGGGTTAGTGAGTCGTGATGTAAGGATAAGAAATATGGAAATCCTTACCCATGATATTTTGTAGTCAGATGGTCTTCCCTTGAATATAAGCCCATGTGGTGGGGGAAGGGGATCACTGAATCCATATAGAAACGAGAGGAGTGATTGTTAGAAACCTTTAAATTCAGTTGTATGGGTGTGGCTCCTACTAATTTCACTTACCAAAGGTGCATCAAATATGATTAGGGCATTTTTGTGTAGAGCATGTTTGTGTTAGGGAATTTGTAGAACAATATCTCCATAAAGGTCTGAAAGCTACTATTTTGACTTAAAAATACTATTCTTTGTCTTCCACTAAGACCCCAAGGAGTGCTGCTATGCAAAATTTTCAAGTTGCAATCATTTGATCCCCAGGAATATAAGTATGCTGGGCCATCTACAAGGCTCATATGATGTGGCACTTGTCCCAAAAGTAGATTTAGTAATAAAGAAAACATTCCGTGAGACAAAAACGATTTATTCAAAACTTTAAATACACCTAATAATTTTTTTTTGAGTACTTCCCTCTCAAAGAATGGGGAAATCTCTTGAAATAGCTGCACTTCCTGATTTTTTTCTATTTTTCAGGGTTTTGGTGCCACGTCTCGTTCAACACAAGATTGTCGCCGAGCAAATCCTACAGATATCATTTGTTTCCATCAAGCTGATGTTGGGGAATACCTGAGATCTGAGGACACTTTGACATAACAAAATACTGAGACCAATAAAAGATCAGTTTTCAGGCAGGTTATCTTTTATTTGGAATTGTAATAACAATGAACTTTAGCTAAAAATTAAGTGAAGAAATAGCCTATTGCGGTCAATGCAATAATCAGGACAAACATGTGTTTCAATATTTATTTTGTAGGATGCTACCACTGTCTTAAAAAATGTTATATTGTTTGTTCATGAATAAAAAAATGTTATATTGTTTGTTCATGAATAAAAAAATCACTTGAAAACAATTTAAATCAAGCCCTCTGTAGAAACTTATCCCCCGCCTAGCCTCAATCTACGCGGGTACCATAGGAGTTTGATACGGTGGCCCATAGAGGACATGCCACATTTTTTATCGCGCGAAAAATGGAAATTATCGCGCGATAAATGAGTACTCGTTAGGTCACGTAATCGGCTGTCACGCATGTTGTTTCAAAGTACCACAATGGCTGTCACAATTGGGAAGGTATGTATTGAGGTCAAAAGTTGCAGTTTTGTAAATTTCTAGAAGGTAGATGTGTCGACGAGAACGTTGTTGTCAGGTTTCGGGAACAAAAGGGGAGAATGATAGCTGTATATAACGTACTGAACTTTAACCAATTAGTTTTTAACGGTCACCTCTGGCTGAAGGTTTTCAGGCAGGAGTTAAGTTGATCCACAAATATTTGAAATGCAGTATTCATTTTGTAAAAATAACGATAAAGCGTAAGGAGTAAACGAACTCGGAAATCTACAATGGATTTGTTATCAGTTTAATGGCGAAAGGTGTTGCACAATTTTCTTATCATAGCAGTCGCTTTGTAAACATGATTAATGTGAATTAAAAGCACTGAACACCCAGATATAGCTTAGTAGGGCTCTTAAGTAACTACGCTCACCACGAGAGTTTGCGATTGAATTGCCGAGGAAAAAATCAAAAGAACAAGTACAGAATGAAAGGATTTTTTTTTTCGGAACGATTGCGTGACACGTCAGAGATCCCCTTACAGTATTATAGTTGTGGAAAAGAGTGTAACGCGATCCCTTAAAAACCCCAGCGTGTAGAGGCTAGACTCGTCACGAACTCCTTGATTCCATGCTCTATTTCCTTTTTTACGTTAAGTACGGAAGCAATATGATTGTGGAAATTTTGAAAATCACGTTGTGAGTACATTATAATTATCGTCCTCGTTTTCGTTATTATTAACGGTTATGTATTCTTATTTAA